TTATGGACAGAATATCTTGGATTAACCAGGTGGTGGGTATGTGTTTCATATTTGCTCTTTGCAGATGATGTGGTTCTGTTGGCTTTATTGGATGTAATCTCCGGGTCGCTTTGCAGCTGAGTGTGAAGCGGCGGGAGTTCGAATGATCACCTTGAGGTCTGAGGCCGTGGTTCGTGGAGTGGCCACTCCGAGTGAGGGAACAGTTACCTAAGGTAGAGGAGTTGAAGTATCTCAGGGTCCTGTTTACAAGTGAGAGGAGAGTGGAAACGGAGATTGACAGATGGTTTTTGGCCGTGGGGCATCACGAATGCTGTATTGATCTTTTCTTTTGAAGAGAGAGCTGAGCTTAAAAGCAAAGCTTTGGATTTTACCGGTCAGTCTATGTCCCTATGTTCCCTCGCCTAAGCTCACGAACGCTGGGTAGTGACCAAAGAATGAGTTTGCAGATAGAAATGACCTTCGTTTGAGGAGTGCCTGACTCCTCCGTAGAGATGTGGTGAGGAGCTCGGTCATTTAAGAGGGACGAAGAGTAGAGCTGCTACAAGGGGCCAGTTGAGGTGGTTCAGTAATCGGACTGGGATGCCCCCTGGACGCCTCTTGAGTGAGGTATTCTGGCCATGACCTGCGGGGGAGGAGGTCTCAGGACAGACCCGGGATTTTGATTTAATTTTTAAAACTTTTCTATTTAATTAAGCACTTCTGATCTATTTAGTTTTGTGATTTTGTGTTTAATTTGACTGCTGTAACACGTTTCCACACACACACTTCCAAATATTTAGCATAGACAAGATAAAGAATATGTTTAATTTAATTAGTGCCATTAACAGGTGTGAGGTGGCTAATTGAGAACACGGCTTCCTGCTGTCGCAGCGGCCTGACATTAATCTGAATTAAACAGGAGAGCCGAGGACAGCCGGATGCAGTTGGGAACATGTGTACTACAGTGTGTCGTGATTTAACGTCCCCACTGAAACTAACGCGTCCGGTTGCTTTCGGCCTTTAATTACACCATAGATTTCCTGCTGATGAACAGGCGGCGAATTAACAGTGAGAAAGCTAATTCACAGCCGCTCTCCCCCACCCACTCGCTGTTATTGCCACACAAGTTATTGTGTTATTGCTGAGGGATGGAGGGGAAAAAAGAGAAAGAGCTGAGTGCACTTAGCTACACAAACATTAGTATTAACGATCGGGCTGCCAGTTCACAACTGGTGACAAACTGCAGACGGGCAGAAACTGGAAACCAATCAGGAAGTTAATGAGGAGAAAAATTACTCCTCTCCTCTCCTCCCACCACTGCTGAGGAGAACACACACACACACACACACACACACACACACACACACACACACACACACACACACACACACTAGTGCAGGGAGGTTTTATATTTTTTTAAGCTGTGAATTCAGTAGACTTGTGTAATCTGATTACCTGTGTACATTTCTCATAGTTTTATTGTATTCTGGGAGCTGATGAACCTTCTAATCTGTCATCTTCTCTCCTGTAAACTCGATCCTCAGACTAACACGTGTGGAGCATCTGGATTAAGCAGCTGATTATTTTCTTGGTTTTTATTAATAAATAACATAAATAAAAAATAACAAAATCTTTTAATGTACCTTAAAGTAATTTTTTGTTAATTATCTTAACATTAATTATTTATTAATTTATTACTTTATATATTAATTACATGTTATTAAATTAAAAAGGCATGATTTTGTTTTCTATTTGTATTTTTTGACATTTATACAAAAAGGTTACTAATACTATTGTAAAAACGGTATTTAAATATTTATTGAGTAATTCTGTGATCAAAAGGCTGTTCGACTTTTCTTGCTTCGATCTGGGAAACGTAACTTTTATCCTGTTAAATTAGCACTTTCTATTCATTTTACAAACAGGGATGAATGATTACGTTTGCTGCCACATTAATGTTATTGTTTTATTAGTAGACATAGCTTGTTCGATTTCAATTCAGTTCAATTTTATTTATACAACACCAAATCACAACAACAGTCGCCTATAAAATAAAATACATAAAATTGTATATTTATACGATAATACACACAGAGAAAAACCCAACAATCATATGACCCCCTATGAGCAGCACTTTGGCGACAGTGGGAAGGAAAAACTCCCTTTTAACAGGAAGAAACCTCCAGCAGAACCAGGCTCAGGGAGGGGCGGGGCCATCTGCTGTGATTGGTTGGGGTGAGAGAAGGAAGACAGGATAAAGACATGCTGTGGAAGAGAGACAGAGGTTAATAACAGATATGATTCAATGCAGAGAGGTCTGTTAACACATAGTGAGTGAGAAAGGTGACTGGAAAGGAAAAACCCAATGCATCATGGGAATCCCCGGCAGCCTATGTCTATTGCAGCATAACTAAGGGAGGATTCAGGGTCACCTGGTCCAGCCCTAACTATATGCTTTAGCAAAAAGGAAAGTTTGAAGCCTAATCTTGAAAGTAGAGATAGTGTCTGTCTCCTGAATCCAAACTGGAAGCTGGTTCCACAGAAGAGGGGCCTGAAAACTGAAGGCTCTGCCTCCCATTCTACTTTTAATTTCTACTTTTAAATACTCTTACTGCTAATAGTTGAAGTGTATGTGTGTGCTTACATGTGTTTAGTACGTCCATGTTGTTGAAATGGGAACTTTTACTGACCTCAGTGTCAGTAAGTGTCCAGTGTTCATCTGCTAGTGGTGGGAGGAGCCTGGCTCTCTGCAGGTGCTGCAGGTGTGAAGTCGTGCGTGAGCTGGATGATGTGACGATTTCCTTTCCCACTCATGTACTGATTTATTTTTATTTGAATTATAATTAAAGTTTTGGAAATCAGCTGTTCAAGTTTTTAAAAATGTACGACTCTTGTTAAGTTAAGTGATTATAATGATTTGGTATAATAACTGTCTTCTGTATGTTTCCCTCCCTGAGCCTGGTTCTGCTGGAGGTTTCTTCCTGTTCAAAGGGAGTTTTTCCTTCCCACTGTCGCCTAAGTGCTGCTCATAGGGGGTCATATGATTGTTGGAGCTTTTCGATGGCTTCTTACAATATAAAGCGACTTGAGGCGACTGTTGTAATTTGGTGCTATATAAATAAAACTGAATTAATGTAGTTTATACTACTGCTCAGTTACATCAAACACAACAAAAGCTGAGCACCAAAACTGTCAGCAGTTCTTTCATTCATCGTCTCCAAGCTCGAACAGTTAAAAGTTTAACTACACGAAACATTTCAGAAACAGTTACCTGAGTAGAAAAGGTCACAACCAAACCAAACAGTGAAAATGATCATTGTTAATAACTGAGCCTGAGGTCTGCTGTTAGTGTTTGTGCTGCAGCTGCAGGGCGAGTGTTAAAATGGGCGGGTGCACATCGCTCCGCTCTTAACTGTAAAAGATGTAATGCTTTTGTTTTGTGGTCACTGTCTTCTCTTTTTGCTCGCTGATTCAATTTGCTGTAAATCCCAGGCTTTGCCAGGAATCATTTCACCGTGCGCTCGTATTTATATCGAGGCTAACAGAGAGGAGCATTTATTCTGCAGAGCTGATGATTACTGTCCCGTTTTGTCTGTCTCACTGTAGTATTTCTGTTGTCCTTCTCGTTTACTCGCCTCACAGCACGGAGACATGTTTATTTTATATGTGCGCTGTCCTGTCTACCTACACGACGTAATAGGAATCTATCATATTAATGACTTTAAGGAGTTTCCGAGGAAGAGATTTGTACTTGAATGTCAGACGTGAAGTGAACCATCTGAGGATTGTCAGGGTTTTTCCCCGGTTTATTATCATGTCACTGCACTGTGAAGGAGTTTTAATATTTAATAATCAAATGTGTCGAGCAAAGCTCAGCAAACGTTGTCATCGGAGCCATCGTGACAACATTTTGGATGTGCCGCTGTAGTGTTTTTAATCGAAAAACGACTCCTCCTTAATTTCCTCAATCAAATTCTGTGAGTTCTTGTAGTTGGTGCAGCAAAGATTATGGAAAGTTGTATGAAATATAATCTCTTGTTTTTAATACTTTAATATCATTTTTAAAGTGGTCTTGAGCGATAGTTCTCCAGGCTTTCTGAAGGTCTTTCAAAGTTTTCTTCGGGCATTGGCTGAGTGTTCACTCGATTTTCAGTCCAGTCCAGGAGATGAACAGGAAAACAAAATCCAGCAGAGACCCGACACAGGGCAGGAGACCGGATCAGCCTCTCAGTCGATTCATTCAACAGTCCAACAGTGAGTCTGCAGCTCACTGTAAAGCAGGGTGGAGGCTCTGCATTTCAGCCAGTGGGGGAGGATGAAATTATGAACACAGAACAGCAGCGTCTGATTGGGCACAGCTTCATGTGTCAGCACACTGCCAGTGCGGTTACAAGCTTACCTGGACAGGTACAAAATGTTGTTGCTTTGCATTGCTGCGTCTATTTTTCATCGTCCGACTTTTATATAATCAACATAAATAGAGTCATTAGAAAAAATCTACCCAGGTGGTTGTTTTAGTCCCTGACATTGTTCGGTTTGTTTGATGTTAATGAAGTAAATCGATGTGACGTTTGTTGGTGACTCAAAGGGTTCAGACTCTTTAGAGAAGCACATTTTTGCTCTGAGATCTTCGGTGCTCCTCAGCAGATCTCTGACTCTCCATCTGTCTTGTTCCTGCAGCCTTCTCGCCCGGCAGCATCTCCGCTGGTCACGACTCCACCATGATCTGCCGCTCCATCAGCTCCCTGGTTAACGTTGACGCCAAGGCTGAGTGCGAGGCCAGCAGCCAAGCTGACGGCTTCACCGTCGACTCCATCGAAGGCGGCGCCACCAAATAAGAGAAGAAAAGGATAAGATCACACGACAGAAGCTTTACGAGCTCGGACGAGCTGAAACTTGATGTTCTTTAACAACCGTTTAATCGTTCGCTCTAGTTTCACGTTGTCTGCACGTTGTCTGCACGTTTCCCTTCTAAAGCTCTGTTCTTGTATTTGTAGATCATTTTAAATCCAGTTCAGGGTTACGTATCACAATGTAATTAACTGGCCAATGCAGTGAGACCCTTGATTAGCTTTAATCAAGATCAGATGATTGAGCGTGAAGCAACTCTTCCAAACAGAAATAAAGTGGGTTTTTTAAATGCAGAGCAAGGTTCTGGTTTTTTCCTTTGAATAAAGCTGCAGCGCCGCATTTCTGCCGAGGGTTGCTTAGCATGATCGACTTTCACCTCATCAGTCCAACAGCTGGTGACTTACAGACAAGAACAAGAAGACCACATTTTTCTGTGTTAAACTCTTTGCAGCTTGTAAAGAACAAACATGTGAGGATGATGTGCTGTTAAATAATCAGCGTGCACAGCCTTTAACCGTCTAACCTCCGTCGTGTCCGCGTGCACATTTACACTCCGGCTCAACGTTTAAGTCTGATTCTCTAAACAAGCAACGTAAAGACAGTCGTGGAGAAAAACGAGACTTTCAAGTTAAGATTTGTTACAAATAACATTTAATTTAATTATGAACCAGGTGATTTATTTGATCTGAGCAAATGAAACTACATATGGATGTTTCCTGTTGGTTATTGGCTGACGTACAGTCTCCTCATTATGCTGTCATGTCAGCTAATTATGGGCCCCCTGTAACCATATTCTCACAATGGGGGGGGGAAAAGGATTTAATCTGAAAAACTGTTTTTCAGATTAAAAGTCAGCTGATGTAAAAAAAAAAATCACAAAAATCAAATATTTGTGACGTAAAGTTTGGTCTCCGACTGGACGTCCGTGTCAGACTCAGATGTCCTCCCGAGGACGGCGTGGGACGGGTTAGAATCGCGTGTCCTCTGCTGCGTTGGCGCCTGGTGAGCACCGGCTGCTTATTTATGGTGCAGATCCAGCAGCTTCCACAGCATTTGCATGTCTATTGTGTTTTTAACCCTCCTGTGGCCGGGAGTCAGCTGTGCACACCGCTTACTGTTTGCAACTTCTCCAACGTCCTGTCAGGCGGAGCAGAGGTGGAGGCCGGCGGCTGACTTTGGAATATTTCATGTTTTCAGCTCCATGTTTGCTGATCGACCTGTGAGCATGTGGAGAAAAACTACATCTGAAATATAAAAGTAGCTCTTTTCTCATTTCTGCTCTTTTTCACATTGACTGAAGGCATAAAGCTGCGTTTGACTTCATAGAGTTTAACTGTAAATTAAAAAGCAACTCGCGGCCCGGAGCTCTCCCCGCTGCGCACGCTCTTTGTGTTTTATAGAGATTCATTTCAAACGGCTCGCTTCCAATGCCTCCATTTGTGTTTGCGTTTGAATAAGACAGCAACAAAAGTAATTTGGAGCTTTGGAGTTTATGTCGCTACAGGTTTCCTGGGAATAAAAACGCTGGGACGTGATGGAGTGCGAACGCGGCCGTGTGCCGGGAACAACGATATAAAACAGACAAAGAAAATTACTTGTATTTTCTTTGTGCTGCACGGTGGGAACATTCATTGGATTGTGCCCCATCTGTTGTAATCAATAACGTGACCATCTTGTTTTTTTATGAAATGCACTTACTCTTAATTTCATCCACCAGTGGTTTTAGAGAGAAGAATGTGGAGTTACCTATAAGGCTCTGACATTATAAATCACCTCTGGAGACCAGATTGTACAGCAGTATCGATTGATCCTGATATATCACAGAAATTTACTGTCACTTCTGTTTTCAATTAAAGATACAATCAGTCAGATAATGACTTAATTGGATTTTACAGAAGATTGAGTTTTATCGCCCCGTGCTTTATGAGTTTAGTTAAGGAAGGCCGTTTTATCACAGTTGTCAGGCCGCCGCTGCCTTGTCCTTCTGTAGCTGCTGCCCCGCGTACAGGCAGGGGAGAAAGTGTCACAGGGTCTGTTTTCCTTGAGCTGCCTCCGCCTCCATGAATCACGCCCTCCCGTAATAGATAAAATCTGCTCGGATCCCGCCGTGACACCTCCTCGGGGAGTGATGGGAGCTCGGTGCAGACGGTGTGGAAGGGGATGCTGCAGGTTCAGAGACGGAGGAGGAAATTTCAAACCGCTGGGAACGGCCAGAACGTTCACTGTTGGAAAGGAGAGAGTTCAAAGGTTATTTTCTTGAGACGATATTTTACTGTGTAGATGAAACATTCTACATTAAAGCAAACCAGTTCTCCCATTCTACTCATTCCCAGTTCCATGTTTTTATTCCTGAGTCTACTAGAGCAGCTTTGCATGATTCACAATTCAAAATAAGCCTCATACATCTTATACTACTGAAACTAAAAATGTGTTTCTAGTTCAGTTTTTATTCGCAATAAATGAATAAAAATTTGAATAAATGAATAAATCCAGAAGTAGGAAAAAGTCTCACAGGGAGTTCTTCTATATAATTACTTACATATTTTGTCTTGTTTAATATGATTGTCCTCCATAATAACACCATAGTGTATATTTAATATTACAGAAAAAGCACAACAGGTGCCCTTTGACACGATGTCTGCGTCTATATTTAGCATCTTAACACTATTTTCTTGCCAGTTTTCACTTCTGTGAACCAGGAGAGCGTCTCACCTTTAACATATCACCATCAGCTCTGTTTACGGCCACAAACTTGGACTCGAGGATTAACTGAGCAGAAATGTTGCGGTCCTAGTCCACTGTGATGTCACAAAGGACATTTTTGGTTGTAACTGAAAAAACTGCAACATAATTTCACTGAAATGTCTAAAAATAGAAGGAGGTCAGAGTATTTTACAGTTGGTCTCATGCTGTCAGCACTGACGTGGCTGTTTGGGTCCAATGAAGGGTTTGCAGAGAAACTTGTGAAAGAGTGATGTTCCTCTGGCCTGATGTTTTGTTCCTTCTGACTCGTCATATTTTTAGATTTCTTCTCTTCTTTTTTTTTTAACTTTAATTACCACTAAAAGTCTATTTTTATATAAAGGCTGAGTTTTGTTGCAATATTCTGCCTCCACTCTGCATACCTTAAAAAAATGCAGTAAAATTAAAGCGTGTACTTCAACCAAGTATTCTGTACGTATTAGCAGCCACTGAATTCAGCTGGTTTACTGAGAGCACGACTGTCTGAAGGACGGAACGAGCTTTGTTCATAAATGTCTGTCCTGAAAGCCGAGCATCAATAAAAGGGCCAAACTGTGAAGACTAACTTCCCAGGTTCACCCTCCCCTCATCTGAGACACGGAGCAGCCTTTGGGAGGACAGAGTGCGACCAGAGGCCTCAGTCGTGGCCTAATTTTGGTATGAAGAGATTAGTTCATCGTTAAAAATGGCCTTTTTTATACTTATCTATATCTCAAAAAGAGATTGCAGCCTTGCAAGACATGCAGTAAAACACCAAGTGGCTCTCAAAGTGTTGTTTTGTTGGCATTCCCCTCTGCACCCACAATTACATTTTTAAATCAGCTGTTTAAAAAAATCCAGTTTTATTTGAATCTCAGTGCCAGACCAGCAGGCCTGCATCAGCACACTGTGTGAGATAATAAAATCATATAATATATATGTATAATCATAAAATAATTATACAAGAAAAGCAGAAAATCTCTTGAGAATAACGACACGTTAATAGTTTAGCACAGAAAAATCTAAACGATTCTTTAACTCATGAAATTATGTGAAAATTGTTTTCATTCCTTCGAATAATGAATCACATTTTGTATGACAACTTCAGATTTAGACCACTTTGTATTAGTCCTGTTTTTTACTATTATTATTGCATCTTTCCTTTTCTGTCCTCATCATCATCAAATTGACTTCCCTGCCCGGCACCGACAGGGTTGAGCAGCCGCGTAAAGAACACCATAAAATTTTAGCCAGCTTCAAACATTTTATAGTTTTACATGCAAGTCAAATAAAAATGACCTGCCCTCCTTAATGATGACAATAACATTTATTTATTTATTTTACAAATGTGAGATAATAAGAGGCGAAAGAAAAAGCTCAGTTTGAGATGTTAATATGATCTATAACTCTGAGACTGATAATATTAATGACACACTCACGTGTGCACGCTTTGCTGATATTTCTGTTTAATTTATTCAGTATTTTGTTTTTACTGCCCGCTTATAGATTTTCTTGCAGCGGTCTTAAAAGCACAGCCTTTCCCTTTTTGCCTGGATGAAGGCTGACGTCTGACTGATGTCCTCGGTCAGCTTTCTAAAGACGTCAGATGTCCAGCTAATTCCTCTGTAGGAGCTCGGTGTCCCGCCTCCCCAGGGAAAGTTAAATCAGCATTTCTGTGACAGGACTTGTGAGTGGCAGCGACGCCCCCAATCAGCACCTCATAAAAACCTCACTCAGCAGAGGTCAGCTCCTCCTCCTGCTCCGGAGGGGCCCCGCTGGAGGAGTTCCCTCAGCCAGTGTAAACAGGAGCTCCAACATGAGGAGACTCAAGTGCAAAGTACTGAAAGCAGCGTGGGAAGGTTTTGTGTCGTGAACAAAACTGCCTAAAATAAACACTGGAACTCCATTTATGAAGCAAAAACTGAAAAAAGGCTTCGACACATTAATCTGAGTCCAGATTTCCAGGATGGAGGTGACATCTGGTTTAAGTTCACAGAGCTCCGTGTGACTAACCAATGAGCCCCGACTACGATCTCTCATAATAACAGAATCTATAATGAAACCAAGTCAACGTGGAGTCTCGAAAAGATGCACTTTTATCCAAATACACTCATAAATAAATATAAGGAAAATATATTATAGCCAATATAAAGACACGTTAATCATCCTCAGCTGACACCTTAGAGAGAGAATCATTATTTTTACATTTTTTCAGGTAAATGTTGTAATCCTACAATATTACAGTATAAATGCTTCTTCTCCTGCTTTGCTGACGGATTATTCAAAAGTAACAAACCAGTGTTCAAACTGTGTGGAGCTGCCAAATAATAATAATAATAATAATAATAATTACATTTTTAGTCTTTTAAATTCTGTGTCTGTTGTCGGGACCTTATTCTTCTAATAAACAGCACGTTGCTTTAGGCACATTATAATTTTGCATGTGTAAAAGAATGTGTGACTTTGAGCTCATTTTAAATGCTCTGTATATGCAATCCTGTCATTTTGAGCCTCTACAGGACAACTTCACGTTTCCTATAGAAGGCAGAACAAAGCACGTTTTTCAAATTCA